AGGCAGGCAGATCTTTGTGAGTTTGAGGCCAACCTGGTCTACACAGTTCCAGGACAGCTGGGGATACAAGGAGACCCTGTCTCAAAAAAGAAAAAAAAAATAAAATATAAAGAAACACAGAACAATTGACATATTATTTGTAATGTATGTGAATGACATACAAGTTTAATTCTTAAAATGTACTGAGGTACACATGGTATATCAGAATAATCTCATCTTAAACAATTTGTAGTTCAAAGACAATATTTCATCAAACAAATTTATTGCATTGGGGAAGAATTTCTGTTTACTTATAGTACAGGCAAAATTTATCCAATGTTGCAATTTTATTGAAGTTTTCAAAATATAAAATATAAAGAAAATGGTTTATTGATGTGTCCCCCAGGTGGCTGATTCCTCCGAAGGCAGGGCCTGCCACGTGGGAAGAACTACTGAGGGGCTGCTGAGAGCCACCTTGGAATGGAAGCCGGGCACAGCAGGTAGCATGTTGTGCAGGGAATGTGCAGCAGCGGCAGCAGCAGCCAGGCATACTCGAGGACAGAATGGCCAATCAGAATGGACCTGGGGCAAGGAAGCTGACCTCTGTTCAAAAGTCGAACATCCAAAGTTTATTCTGGGACTCAATGTAATCTCTTGTTTTACCATCTGCAAAATAATAAAGCAGATTGCATATTTCCAAAATACAATGGAACCAAATGTACATTCCATTCAAAAATGGAATAGGGACATAATGAGAAAATATGCAAGCAAACCAATTCATATAACCACGGAACCCTGTGGTTCCGTGTCCAGTACTACGGCTTTAGGACTAAGTGCTCAGATGGCTTTGTTTTTCTAGCTTTGCTGCCTACAGGATACATCTTTGTTTTGCCCTGGTTCAATTTCTTGTACAAAGTTCACCTTGACAGGTGTCTCATAGATCACATATATTCAAAAAGATTGGCGTCTCCAATGCAACCAAGGCCTCACATTCACAGATTCATGCAATGCTCCTTTCTGCCCTCCTTGCCTTTCTTTCATGGCCTTCTCTTAGTGACTCCAACAGTGGTGAACACTGTATGGTCTTAGCTGCTGTCTGAATCCATGGGAGAGGACTCCAGTACTCCCTCAAAGTTCCACCCTTCATGCCTCCAAACCCAGTATCACCAGAACATCACTGTCAAGTTCGGCTGTCAGCTTCAGATGCATATTCACCTTACTGAACCAAATTTCCAGCAGTTTCTGTACTTTGTAGTTTTCTAGAAGCAGAAAATGCACTAGACTTTCTGCTTTCTCAAGCTTACCTGGATGGAGTGTAATCCTGAACTCATCCTCTCCATTGTTGCTGAGTAGAGTAGAAGACCTTTCATTAATGCCTTAATCTCACTAAAAATTAAAGCTTCTTTTGCTGCACAAGACTTGACTTCAATAATATAACATACTCTTTTCTACCCCAAACGGTACATTTTGCATGTCTTCTTGAGCTGCTGGCTCTTTTTCATCAGAGATCTGTATGAGTCACCACTGATAATCACACCACAGATTCAGTATTAGGGTATCTTGAAATGTTCTTTACTAAAAATTTAGTTGATTGCATTTTAGCTTCACAGGAGTTCTAAGGACTCTGGCCGATGGTAACCAGATTATTTGCTGAAGTATAATAATGGCCTCTAGACCGGCTGCTATATATGTCTTTGTTTCCCTGTCACTCTCAAACATTTTGAACCAGGTTCTGATTAGAATAGCCCATCAAGCTCTATTTACAGCATTCAAGAACTTTTGTAGTCTAAAGTTCCAAAATCTTCATCCTTTCAAGAACAACACCCTTTCTTCACAGCAATGCCCCTCTTCTGGCATCAACTTCAGTATTACTTTTCTGTTGTGATAAAGCACCATGACCAAGGCATGTTATGAAAAGAAGTTATTTGGCCACATGGTTGAAGAGAGGTAAGAGTCCACCATGACTGGGATATTTGAATGAAAATGTCCCTCAGAGATTCCAAGTATTTGATGATTTGGCCATAGTCAGTAGCACTGTCTACAGAGGTTAAAATGTGTATCCACACTAAAGGAAACAAGTCACTGGGGTGAACTTTGAGAATTCATACACTTGTCCCATTTCCAATTTATTTCCCTTTGCTTCCTGTGCCTGCTTGAAGATGTGAGTGCTCGGGTTTCAGCTGTGGCTGCCTCCTTACAGGTCTACTTGGTCGTGATGCATTCTTTTTATCTCTGGAACCATACGCCTTCTAAAAGCTGCCTTGGTGATTGTGCTGTAATCAAAGGAAAAGAAAAGTAGCTAGTACACTGGCAGAGAATCACTGCAGTAAATGGCAGGCATAGAGGCAGGAGCCAAAGACTGGACATGTTATCTTCAATTGGAAACATGAAGCAGAGAGTAAAGTGGCAATGGGGTAAGACTATAAACTCTCAAAACCCACAACCACTGAAACACTTCCTCCAACATGGTGGCATCTGCTAAACCTCCCAAAAAAGCACCACTAACTAGGAGCACAGTATTCAAATATTTGAGATCATAGGGGACATTTTTGACCACAGCATTCTTTGTTAGAAATTACAATATTTAAATTATTTTGGTGATGGGGTCCCTGCCAAAGTTCAAATAATGTCATTATCACCATAGCAATTTCCATTGATGTTTAGTTTTACAATTTTTTTGGGTCTTTTGGAGTCAGGGTCTCCCTGTAGCCCCAGCTGACCTGGCACTTGCTATGTCAAACAGGCTGGTTTGAACTAACAGAGAACCTCCTGCCTCTTCAAGAGTAATCAGTACTCTTTACTGCCGACCAATCTGTCCAGTCCAGAAAGTTTTTACATATTATGAGGCTTTCCTTGCTTTTCTTTAATATTTTTATTAATCATTTGAAAATTTCCTACAATGTATTTTAATCAGATTCTCCCTCTTAACTTCCTTTTGTTCATTTATCATGGTATTTTTTCATTAGAAATGGGGAAAGCACACTAGCACACCACCTCCTGTAAAACTGTGTTTTGGTTCTTTGTTTTGTAAAGGTATCAAAATACATGCATTATTGCAGTATTGTTTCTTACTGCAAAACTGTATTGGAGCCTAATATTGTTGACCATTCCTTCAATAGAAAACAGCATTTCAGTCCATATGATTAAGTGACCAATAAAAAGAGCTGATGCAAAGAGTACGGTATATGTTTTAAAATAAAACATAAATTCAACACCCATAAATTATGGGCTTAAATTTTTGTACAATTTTGTTATATACATCTCACTGTCTCTAATTTAACTTTAGCAATAACTGTATGTTACTTGAATTTTAATTTAACTAATAAAAAGAAACCTTAATGAACCACTCTTCCGTATTTTGTTCTACTGACTTGAAATCACCCTTGTCTCTTGTAAAATGAAATGTAGGCAAATTTCACTTTGGTAGAAATAACATTTTTAACACAATCTTTAGGTTAAAGCACTGAATATATGATATGAGTTTTATTTAACTAAAATAAATATATACAGCTTAAAAGATTTTTTTTTCTTTTGGTTTTTTTGAGATAGGGTCTCCCTGTAGCCCCAGCAGTCCTCGAACTCACTATGTAGACCAGGGTGGCCTTGAACTCACAGAGATCTGCCTGCCTCTGCCTCCCAAATGCTGGGATTAAAGGTGTGCACCACCACACCCAACCTAGATTAAAAGATTTTGAAATATCACATATGAGATTTTGAAATATCATATATGTGTGTCAGTTACAACACAAATAAAAGGCAGGAAAAAGCAACATTGTGCTGAACACATAAATACTAGAGTTCATTATCTGATACTTTCAAAGAGGTAGGCTAAAATGTCAATCGGCTAGAATAGTGTTAAAAAACCAAATTTCTTATTAACAGTTTGCTCTATACTTTTCCTACATCAAGTAATACTGAAAACATCTAACAATTCTTCTTATTGTATAAGTCATCACTAAATGAATGTGCTAGACTATTTGTTTTCCACACTGAAACATGGGTACTGATGCACCTCCAGTACTCAAGATTGACTTTTTCTTTTAGTAATAGAAAGATGTCCAGAACACCTAAGGCACTGCAGAATGCATTCTCATTACTAAAAAGAAAATAATCTCCATTTAGATATTGGGGTGGGATATAATATAGCAATTATTCATGGAGGAATTGCATTAATGAATTATTTCTAATTTGCAATATATTTGTTCAGGTCTGAGTCAACAATTACTATAAATTATCATATAATCCTGAGTAAAGAAGAAAATTTGGCTGAGGATCAAATAAACCTACAAAGTTTTCCCTTTAATAAGCTCCAATTCTGGGAATACAAGTACAAAAATAAGAACACAGTTAAATCTACAAAAATATCACATCTTATTCTATTAAAATATACTAGCAATCGATGTTACTACTTTGATTCCCCCCCCCATAATACTCTTACCTTGCCGTACTGTCTTAATTAGATCGTGCTGTGGTGTTTTTTGTTATGAAAAAAATTGCGGTGTTTGGATATATAATGTTACCATTTTATTTTATAAAGATATTTTCCTTAATATACTTCAGGAATTTCTAAATTATGTGTGTTCACGAAAGTGATCACATATCCATATTTGATTCCTGTTACTAAATTTGTTTCACAGTCTTGATACTTATATTTCACATAGTGAAATTTTTTTTTAAGTCGCAGAGGTCAGAAGTGGGCTTCGGATTCCCCTAGAACTGGAGTTAAGGACAGTTCATAGCTGCCATGTGGGTGCTGGGAATCAAACCCAGGTCTCTGCAAGAGCAGTCAGTGCTCTTAATTGCCATCTCTCCAGCCCCCAGAGTGAAATCTTTGACAGTGAATAACTGATAAGATTTAAGAATTTTGAGGTTTCTCTGAACTATGAATTTTCTTGTGTTCTAAGATTAGAGTTCTATGTAAATGATTCCTCATATTCTTTTGAGCTGTAGAGTTTCTTTACACTATGGATTCTGTGATGTTCAAGATGATTTGAAGTTCAAGTAAAGTCTTTTTCACAGTCTTTATATATCTAGTTTCTCCCACATATGAGTCATCTCATGTTGAACAGAAATAGCTTTTGTTGAAGATTTTGCTTCACCAAATTTAGTTCTAAGCTTTGGCGTCAGTATAAATTCTGTTTTCTAGGATTTACTTATCAAAGTTTTCTTCATTATAACTACCTTTAAAAGAGTCTCTCTATAATGAATTCTGTAATGATTTTTAAGTATTTAGCACAGGGTGAAGGTTTTGCTGCATTCTGTACTTCCGTAGCCTGCTCTCCAGTATGACTTCTCTGTGAGTTCTAATATTTGACATATAAAGGAACTGGCCACATTATTTACACTTGTAGTATTTTTCTTCACTATTAATTCTCTATTGTTCTCTAAGAGGTGAAATATGATTAAGGGGCTTGATGCAGTCTTCATATTCTTAGGGGTTTTCTCTGATGTCATTTCTTTGATGGACTCTAGGATTACATATTTGATTAAAGAACTTTTTGTATTCTTCACATTTGTGGGGCTCCTCTCCGGTATGAATTCTTTCTGGTGTTCTAAGATATGATACGTGTTGCCATGCCATCTCCAATGGAGTCCGCGTGAGGTTCTCCGTGGACTGAGGCCGAAACTTCAAGGAAGATTGCCTCTTGGAACTGGCTGTGGAAAGAAAGTTTGCTGTGCACTTGGCTGTTCTACTCTTGCTCTTATCTTTATTGCAGGTGTTGTGTTCCTGGCTCACAAAAGTAGCTCATTGTCCTTATTCAGGTCAGCGAGCACGCCTGTGAGAAAATTAGATAGAGATGACTTCTCTGGAATGCTGTCACCCGATAGTACACTTCCTCCAGATGCTCTTCTATTTCAGACATTAGTTAAATTAGGAAAGAATAGGAATCCCTGAAAAGTCCTAGATAAATTACAACAGGAAGAATTATTTGTGGAATCCCCCTTGCTAAGATTCCTTTAGCTGCTAAGATTATAGGAAAAGGATCTAAGATAAAAACCAAAAGAAAACTGCCACCCACTGTCAGAACTAAATATGGATATGCTTATGTATTAGGTAATGGGAGACTTTGGGCTCCACCAAAAGGGAAAGGAAGTCGTAAAACCACAAATAATTAAAAATAAGAACGGTTGCCAAACAACAAAGGACAGACAGGAACATGATGTCTGGTACTAGGTAATTAATAGATAAAAATCTTTTCCTCACATCTCTTTTTTTATTTTCGGAATAACTTTTCTCAGAAAATTGTTGACCGCTTGATTAAACAAAGAAAGATTTTGCAATTATGCTCTGTGTATAAGCTGATGCTTGCAGCTTGGAAAATACACTCAGATTCAACCAACTTCTGTGCTGTTTCTATTTGTCAATTCGCCGAATCCTTGCCCACTCTCTTAAAGCCCTGTTCCCGTCGGACTGAGCGCTCCTGCCAAGCTGGTCTATCACAATATGTAAAGGACTTGTGACATTTTCCACATTTGTAGGGTTTTTATCCAGTACGGATTCTTTGATGTGCTCTAAGATGTGACAGTTGGTGAAAGGACTTCTCACATTCTGTACATTTGTAGGGTTTCTCGCCAGTATGAACTCTTTGGTGTCTCCGAATTTGTGATATCCAGCTAAAGGACTTTTCACATTCTTCACATTTGAAGGGTTTTACCCTTGAATGAATTCTTTGATGGCTCCTAAGTTGTGAGCTTACAGTAAACGATTTGTCACATTCTTCACATTTGTAGGGTTTTTCTCCAGTATGGATTCTTTGATGTACTGTAAGATATGACAGATGACGAAAGGACTTCTCACATTCTGTACATTTGTAGGGTTTCTCGCCAGTATGAATTCTTTGGTGTCTCCGAATTTGTGATATCCAGCTAAAGGACTTTTCACATTCTTCACATTTGAAGGGTTTTACCCTTGAATGAATTCTTTGATGGCTCCTAAGTTGTGAGCTTACAGTAAACGATTTGTCACATTCTTCACATTTGTAGGGTTTTTCTCCAGTATGGATTCTTTGATGTACTGTAAGATGTGATAGTTGACGAAAGGACTTCTCACATTCTGTACATTTGTAGGGTTTCTCGCCAGTATGAATTCTTTGGTGTCTTTGAAGATTTG